CTTAGTTGAGGCAAGCAGCTTGAAGATAGTATGGAGCTCAGTGGTCTTTAAGGCTTTTTGCTGCATTCCTGTCCCTTCCCTCTGCCCTGGGTAAAATGACAAGTTCAGACCTCAGCTGTGACAAGGAATTTGAGACATCAGTTATGGAGAAGGAAGGTGAACTGTTTCGGAGTGGGACACCAGTCTGCTGAAGCAGTGGGAAGCAGCTGTTAAGACTCAACGTGAGTAGTGGAACTACTAATGCATTGCAGAGGAGAGAAAGGTAGAAATTGCAATAAAACCTGTTTATTTCAAGAAAACCACATTTTCAGTATTGAAGAGGAAATATTTTATTCCAACTATGTTTATCTGGAGAGAAAGAGATGCACTGAAGCCCCTGAATGCTAATCCATTAAACAGTTTGAGCTCTCTCCTCACCTCATGTATGTAGTGGTGGCACTTCCCCATTACTGTCTCCTTTTGACACTAATCAGAAATCTGGATGGATCAAAATTATTTGAACAAAGTTCCTATTGAAATATGAGCAAAAACTAGAGGAGTTGATGCTATCCTGCACTGAAATGTTGCTGTGCTTTCCTTCTGAAAAGAAGGGTATTTGCTTATTAAAAGTACAATTTGAGGTGACCATTTCATAGAGATGTATAATGACTTGCAAGGCATTAAAAAGTTGATTCTGGAAGAAATGAAAAGAGACCTTTGCTATCCAACAAAGGTCTTCTAAGCAGTATATGTGGGGAAATACAGCCAGGCACTAAAAGCCTCACATACTGAATTGACTGCTGATGATAAAAGAGTGTTTACGGATGGAGCAGTCATTAGGAATTGTATAACCAAGTCATTGAAGAGGTATGTCTGGAAAAGAAAACTTTGATAGTATCAGTTTTCTGCCAGTACAACTGCCAGACTGACACAGGGAGTGGGAACATGTTTTTCCAGCTCAAGAGAAGAACAAGACCTTTGAATTATTTTCATTAATACTGTGTGTGAACACCAGTATTTCAAACACATAAAAAAATTTAATTTCAGATCAAGGAACTGGTGAAGCATTATTGTAGTGTTAGTTGTATTTCAGAATGTGATGGGGGAAAAACCCACTACCAAATACAGTTTTCTTAAATGTACAAAATAGTAAACTTGCCGAAGTTGTAAAGTGAAAACTGAACTGTTGTGATACATGAGGCAGGGTTAAGCAACCAGAGCTCATATCCTGCCTATTTCAAGGAAGTGCAGCAGTGAAAAACAGAACTTT